TACTAGTCTTAAGAGTGTTAAAGTGAAATATGTTTGACTTGGAGCTGAATGATTTTTCTTAATAAAGTCTTTTATTTTGAACAGAAGTTGTTGTGAATTTATTCCATGTTTGTGCAGAATTAACTGTTTGACCACGATTAGAGCTCAAATCACTCTTTCATCTATTGTTCTAACACACAGTTAGTAGGGCTGTGTGTCATAAACAGTATATAACAGCCAAAACAATATCTGATTAAATAAGCAATAAGCATCTTAAAGTATCAGAAATATAAAGTCCCAGCTGGCTGGGAATGGAAAAGAACATAAAATCACAACAGCTGAAAACAATAAATAAAAAACCTAAAATTGAATCAGCAGAGATATCTAGAAGGGGGTCCAACGGGTCTCATCAGAAAGAACCAGAACGACATGCAGACAGCAGTGAGTGGGCGGAGCCAAGATACCTGGACAGGTGAGGAACAGCCTTCTGGAAAAGAACTACAAAAATCCAAAGTTCCATAAATTTAGTGAACAACTGAAGCTTTCTGCTATGAAACCCCAAACATATGAAGGCGAGGCCATGTCAGGAAATAATGGACTTTGATCAAACTCTGTGAGGTGGGCTGTGCCTTTACGTTCTGTCACACAAAGGATTGTGGGTAACCGTATAGCGGCCCTCAGAGACGTCCCTATGCTAACTGCATTGGAGCTAGGAAGCATCCAGCCTCCTGGTCCTAGCTCCTTCCTAACTGCCAGCACTGTTCAGGTAGGACTTATTATGGCGACTGCTGATGCACTGCCATAGGAGGAAGCAGGAGTACCCAGAGAGAACCCACACATGCACAGAGAGAACATGTGGCCTCCATACAGAAAGACCCCAGGCTGGGAATCAAACCCAGAACCTTCCTGCTGCAAGGCAGCAGAGCTACAGACTGCAGCCCTCCAACCTTCCTCCAATCCTCTTTCTGGATTTCCTAGAACCCTTCTCACCGTAGCTCCTTTCTTCTTCTTTCAATTAGATTCTGAAAGTTCTGATTTCTTTTTTAAAACCTTGAAAGCTTAATTTGTAGATTTAATAACCAGATCACATTCTGTTGTTCTCCACGGTACAATCTTCTTCTTCTTCTTCTTGTTTTTCCTGCCTTCCTTCAGAATCTAATGATGAACAGCTTCTAGAACAGAATTCCAAAATGTTAAATTGAATAAACTGATATCAACACTCATGTCTGCTTCCTTCATTCTTTCTTCACTTCTTATCTTCTATTTCTCCCAGTCAGCTCTACTAAAAGACCAATAAACAATCCTCCAGGATCCTCCTGCTTATTGAAGCCAACTTCAATCAGATCAGGAAAGTCTTTCCTTCCAATAGTTGTGCCTTTAATAATCTTCCAGGATCAGAGTCCTGCTAATGAATCAGAAACTAATGTTAAATCAGTTACTGGTTATTGAGGATTATGCTTTATGAGAATCTCCAGTGTCACATGCAGCTCTGCTGATTAATGTTAGTTTTCTCCTCTCACCATTTTCTATCTGGTTCAGTTGTTTTTGAACTTCCTGTTTTATTCTGAGCTCAAATTGCAACAGGTGGACTATTTCCTGAAACGGTGATTTGTAAAGGCAATAGATTGTCTTCAGTTTCATTTAGGGGTATCAGTGTACAGAGGTCTGAACATTAATGCTCGCTGCACTTTTTCAACCTCATTTAGTAAAAAACAAAATATTTCTCTTTTATGAAGCACTACTATGGGACGGTTTATGACCTGTAGTCCCAATCAAACACTGAACTTTCAGAAAATGAGACAAGAAATGTGAGAAAGATATAAAGGGTGTGAATATTTTCTCCTGCACTGAATAAATCATGTTTCACAGAAGCACATCAGCTCTTAGACCTTCTGTTCGATGCTTCTACCTTCTGCCAAAGTAGCCTTCATCATCCTCATCATCCTCGTCGATCAATGAGATATCAGGCAGAGAGGCGACCAGGTTGGTCTGCCTCCTGACACCAAGAACTCCTGCCTCCTCAGCGTATGAGTGAAGCTGAAGGGATGGAGGGAAAAGATGGGAAACATTTCAGGGAAAAAGAAAAGTTTCTTAGTAATACGCATGCATACAACCATGATGAGGTTAAATGAGAATGAAATGAAGGTTTCAGAAATCGATTGAAATAAAGACTAAAAATAATAAAAGAGCTCTGTGACAGAAAGAAACAAGAACTCCTTTATTTCTAAAGCACTTCACCATATTTATCACCAAGTGCTTTAAGGTTGGAAGCTCATTTCTATCAGAAGCTGCAACTGAATATCAACAAAGAAGAATTAGCAGCAATGTTGAAAGCAACCATCAGATTGAGAGGCAGCAATATAAAGAGAGGCTTAACATTAAAGGAATGAGCAGTGGACTCAGTGCAACACTTGCTAAAGGATTATATATTGCAAAGAACGGTGCAGAGCCGACATGGATAAACGGCCTAACATGATGAGAGCCGCATCTTTGACCTGCTGCACCGCCATGTTTAAAGAAAAACAACCATGGAGCTTGTTTGAATGTTTCTCTCCTTGTTCCTGTTTCCAACCATCCAAATAGGATGTCAATGTTTCCTAGTATTGCCATAAAAAGACTTTGTCTATTTCCTTTAAAGATGTTAAGTTATCAGTATAGTGGGCATTATAAGGTACATTTATAGGTTCTCTGTCTAATTTGAATTATAAAGCCCAAAAAAGATGATTAAAAATAAATAAAAGTAATGGCTGACACTACATCACAACCATGAAAGGTTAGTTTTATTAAATTAAGGTTAAAATAGCTGCTCATCTTTTCCAAATCGTTCTTTCAACAAAGAACATCCATCAATAATGAATGTAAAAGAAAATATAGTGAAGATAAAGAGTGTCTGTGCTTTAAATGTGATGCTATTATTATTTTTCTAGAACAGTCAAAAGCTAAAGACTCAAAATTTTAAAAACAATAAAGTAACTCAGCTTTTATAAAGGTTGGATTTTTCTGTATCTAATTTTCTTTTTTTGAACAGGGGTTAAAAAATGTATCAATCACCAAAAATCTTTTCTTTTTCTAAAGTTCTGGCAAGAAATGAAGACGACTTTAACACCAGCTGTAACCGTCTCACTACAATCATGACAGGCCAATCACAGAGCAGCAAATTCAGAAAGAAAAATGTGACGTTTTTTAATATGAAAATAAATCTTTAAAATGTAACATTTATGTTCTGATTTTTATACCTATTTATTCTGAAAGACAGCTTCCATTTAGAGAAACGTTCACATGAAAATATTCATTTATATGAACTTAAATTCAAAAAAGTTTGGTAAACAAAATTATTAAAATAATAAGAAGAACAGGGAAATGAAAATGATTTAAAATGTAAGCATGTCACCATAATGGAGCATTTCCTATGGATTTTATCTCTGTAAAGATTTTAATCATAGAAAACACATCTAGAGCCTCCAGTAACATAGAGAAAGTGATCATTAGTTCACCGTGTTTCATCAATATCTTGTTCTTCCTAGGGGAAGAAGGTGAGAACAGCAGAGAGGATCATGGGGGCTCCTCTTCCCTCCATTAAAGACATCTCATCCCAGCGCTGCGTGTCCCGAGCCCGTGACATCATCAATGACCCCTCACCCCCCCACCATGGACTGTTCTCTGGGAAGAGGCTTCACAGCATTCAATGCAGGTCCAGAAGATTCTGCAGCAGCTTCTTCTCCACCACCATCAGACTGTTGAAAAAACTCTAAATCACAGACTCTGCATCACACCGATAACATCAGACCAAAAGTGCTGCAAAATTGCACCATATGCATTCAGTGCTCTGAACTTCCATATCAATGTGGTTTTTTAGTCCTGTTTTCTTTTTTTATCCCTCACTGTTTACATTTGATCATTGCTGAACTTTAAGAATGTCATGAGAGCTGTACACATTCCTTTTTTATACACTGCATGTACAAAATGACAGTAAAAGTTGTCTAAGTTTAAGTCTAGTCTAAGAAACAATCTAGACATCTTTCATCTTCCAGACTGTGAAGGGTTTCATATGAAACGCTTCAAGAACACATTCACATGTAAACCACGAGTCGTCCACTCTGTAAAAGAGAGATATGCAAAGGATGAGTAAATCAGAAAATTATAATTATCTGATAAAACTTTTATAAAAGATTTAGGTACCGCTGTTTATGAATAATTTTCCCACACAGCAAACTTCCTTTCCAAACTGTTTGCTGAGGAGAATTAAGACGTCAATATCTGAGAACGATCAAACATGTTATATAATGATGAGTAAACTTAGTGAGCATCAAAGATCCTTTTATTCGATTATTTAACAGAATATGGGAATGTGGAAAACTAGCCCAGAGTTGGAAAGAGGCTACATTGGTCAAACAGGTTTGAATAGTTCACTTCAAATAACTGGTAAACATGCAGCAGGTTTAGGTGAAAGTAGCAACCTGCCTGAAACTGGACAGCAGGTGTTTATGGATTTTATTGGTTATAAAACTGAAGGGAGACAGTTTAGAGAAACTGTGGATCAAAGGAAAATTTACTATTTAAAAGAATTCCAATATAAATTAAACAAAATATCAAATATATTCGATTTGAAAAACAGTTAATAAATAATAAGAGAGAAAATATATATATATATTTTTTTGCTTTAAATCTTCTGTCTAAATTGTTACAGAAAAAATAGCTTGTTTGGGTTTTGCTGTAAACCTCCTGTTGACACTCCAGTCCAGCAGGTGGCGGTAATGTGCCTTTATAGTTGGTCTGCCAGCTGCTATAAAGAGAAGAACAACAGGCCTCGATGCGACCAGACTGGACAGAACAGCAGCTAGCAGCATTAGCTTAGCTTGTGTGTGGAGTCATTGTAGAGAGGCTGATAATCTGGGAGTGTTTGCAGTGAGAATGTCTTCAGTCCAGCTTCAAGGAGAGTTTATCACCGAGCAGTTAACTCCTGCTGAAGAAACATTCACGGAGTTTAAAGGGAGTTTGGTCAATTCGGAGGAAAAGATGGACGATCAACATCTACTGCTGGATTTCACCAGGATCCCCCAGATCATCTTACACCGGATAGGTAGGAAACACCTGATAGAAACGATTCCCTGATGATGCACACTGTGGATTTTAGCCTCATCTGATTGGAAAACTGCTTAGAGGAGATCAACATGCTAAGCTAAAGCTAACTTCCGGTTGATAGTGGGAGTCTATTAAAGGCTAAAGTGTGCATGATGTTTGGTCATTGCAGCTTTTCAGGCTAAAACTCTACTGTTCCATGTTGTTTGTGATGCTTAGATTCCAACATGGAGGCTGTTCTGATCCCTGATTCCTCAGATATCTATAGAATTGTTAGATGGTTTACCTGCTGCTGGACAATGGAGTCACAGTCTGCACATGGAGGAGGGAGGATTGGATTAAAGCTCCATCCATAGGCTGGAAAAAGCCTTTAAACAGGGTTTGCTTACTAAAACTATAGCTGCTAAACTGTTAGTTTGGGAAATAATAATAAATGACTTTGGTAACTCTGGTTTAGGAAAAGCAGCCCAGCTAATAGCTACAGTCACACCACAACCACATCAGTCAGAGATCGTCATTTAAACATCAGAAAATCATCATTGCTGTTTATAAAACATTGCTATTGAATTAGAGATTTCATTGAGGTCTCAGCCTCCAGTATTCTAGCTTTAGCTGAGATGAACAACTGTGCTTCTAGATTAAATCGATTCCAAAAAGAAATCCTGCAGTTTTACTTTTCACCAAACCTTAGAAAGAGACTTTTAAATAGTGTGAACAGGCAACCCTTGTCAGGGTTAGATTGAAAGGCTTAGATTACAGCTGCAGCTAACGGTTGGAGGTTTTCAGAGGATTTAACTGAAACAAAGGTTCACACTGCAGGCCTGGATGCTCAATTCAGATTTTTTGTGAAATCCATTTTTTTTTTACGTTGCCGTTCACATTTCCTAATAAATGCGACTTTTATGTGGTCTCCTCTGTGAACTGCAGTCATGCAGTGTCCTGCATGCTCTGTAGAGGACGCAGTGACTTCACAGACATCTTTTCAAGATGGTTAAACATAAATATTGCTCTCTGCATCATCGTCTGCCATTGTTTTTGTTTTTTAGCTGCTACTTCATAGCAGGACCCAGAATAGTGACGTTTGTCGGTTATTAATGGTGTCCAGGTCAGATGAATGCAACCTGGCCGTTCAGACACAGGGCGCACATATCGGATTCAGGACCACATAGCCAAGCAGTCTGGGTCGCATTGGAAAAACTCAGATCTGTGTTGTTCAGACTATCATGAAAAGATCAGATCCAGGTCACATATGGACCAAAAAATTGGACTTGGGTCACTTCAGCTGCAGTGGGAACGTAGCCATAGTAGCAAAATGTGGAAGCACAGTAAATGTTATTGAATAACAATAGGTGATCTGTAGTTATGTGGAAGAACTTTCACACAATATACATTATTTTCTATATTCTGGTGATTTTCTGAGAGCTTAAGTAAAGGAGTATGGGCCCTACTTCATCTTCAAGATATAGTCAACTAAGATGCTGGTGAAGATTCTCAGTCATCCAGGTCGTCCCATCCAAATGAAGTGACCGATTAATCGGCTTCTTTTTCAAAGACTCTGGTCCAAAGACTATAACTTCTGTGTTGTCTGCAGGACAAGAAAGACAAGAGTCATCCAGGTGTTTGTGTCTTCAAGACATGCCTGTAATCTATATAATGGATTGGCTTCATCTGGATTTACAGACAGATATAGTTGGGTATCAACAGCATTACTGTGGAAATGAATCCCATGCTATCTAATAACTACAAATTGTGGGCATATATATAGTAAAGAGAATTGGTCCTAGCACTGACCCCTGTGTCACACAGACAGTAGTTTTGCTAACTCTGAAAATTCAACTCGATCAAAGCAGTCTAAACCAAGTTCAGTTTCTACCTCAGATGCTGACACACCTTCCAGAGATAAACCAATCGTAGATAGAGGAGTGTTAATTATTTTATTTTCAATAAGATTAATCTTATTTATAAAGAATCACATAAAATCATTACTGCTAAGAGCAGGTGGAATGGGTGGTTCAACAGAGCTATGGCTCTGAGTGGGTTTGGCAACTGCTTTGTATTTTTAACGTTTTTCCTTCTCAAAGGGGCTGCATTGTCTAAGGCAGTATGCAGAGATCTAACCCCATCATCAATCTGCTAAAGTGAAACCTTCCTTTGTTGGAGGAGGACTCTGCTAAAATAATCCTGAAGGTTATTAAAAAGTGGTCAGAGAGGACAGGGTTGTGAGGAAATGCTGTTAGTTCCTTACATTCTACGTCATATGTAAGCGCAGGATTTTTTTCAATATTTGGTCAGTGCATAGGTGGGCTAATTCCAAAATATGAACTGGATATGAGCCTGAAATGTGTGTTAGTACTAAGATTGTGTTAAAAACTTGGACTAGGTTTTTATCAGCATGGTATTTTTATAAATAAATAACGGGAATGGAGTTGAGTTTTAACGTCCGTCATTGTTTAGCATGGAAATATGGAATGTGGAGTGTGCGCGTGTGAAAACATCGAGATGTTGGAGTCTCATGCTCAATGGGTGAGAGTTGACAACCCTGTAGACTCAATAAACATACACACGCTTTGGGCAATTAATTATTTATTTGGGCTTAGTGGTTAAATATACACTTATAAAAACAGAAAAAGATATAAATGAAGTAAACTGTAATACTAGTTTTCACATTTTCACCTGGGCTGTTCCATACTAACGTTTAGGACTTAAGAGAAAGCTTGTTAACTAAAATCAAAGTTGCTAAACTGTTACATTACATTAACTTAGCAACTATGGTTTTGGGAAAGCACCCCTGCTAATTATTACAATAACACCACAACAACCTCAGCCAAAGCCCGTAATTTGAAAGTAAGATTTGATTTTAAAATCCTTTGTTGTTCATAAAACATTGCTATTGAATTGTGGTCTCAGCCTTGATAACGTGTACAAGATAGCTTTAGCAACGGACATAGCGGAGCGTTAGCCACGATGCACTGTGCCACACGATGAAATAGTTTCCATAAGAAATACTGCAGTTTTATTGTGTCCAAGCATCCAGAATTACAACCACGTTAATAACATTTGTAAGCAGGATTTTAGCTGGGAATATTTCACTTTATAGCGTTAAGTGACAATTGTCCTTCCTGGTAGGGAACAGTAGGCATGGCGCGGCTAATTTGGGCTATAATCCCTGTTGATCTTGGAATTGTTAATTATTAGAGTTGGAAAAATTAAATTCTTTCAAACACAAAAAATAGTATTTAGTACATATTGAGAGAACAATAAGAAAGAAAACAACAGTTGTAATTTGATTTCCTAGTAATTCTTACTGTTAGAGCATAAAAAGAAAAACAAACTGTTTGTGTGCATTTATGTATGTATAATAAATGGATGACATCATACTTGCCATTCAAAACACTCAGTAGTGGTCGGCTCAGTAACTCCAGATAAAATAATTTAAGTTCACTCAAATATTAGGATAAAAGTTAGCTATAGAAATGGCAGTAACTTCATATGGCAGTAAAACATCAATGATTTAATTGTGATGGTTTTTACAAGGTTAATCATTTTAGTTTTTTTTTTTTTAACAGGGTATTTGTCACTTTTTAGCGGTGCCAGTCAGGTATCCCTCCTGACAAGTAGGATAAATATTTATATATTTTTAAACCAGTCACACTAGGACCATACACTTTTGTGTGTAGACCCTTACAAATAAAGAATGAAAACTCTTCACAAATAGACAACAAAAAATTAGGCTTAACAGTCCTTGTATTTCAAAAAGACAAATATATAGCCATCAAAAAATAATCACAAAATTCTTCTCCAAAAAATAACTGTCCATTATAATCCAAGTTAGAATGGCTCCAATATAAATTGCCCCACAGCAAGAGCTGTGAATAAACAAGAGAAAATAAAGAACATAGAGAAAATAAAGAACATAAGAGTCTATACACAACAAAAGTCCTACAATTGCATAAAAAACAGCACAAACAAACATACATAGAATGGACTTACAGGTCAGATGAGAAACAAATCTTGCTTAGAGGCAGGAACTGGATCAGGTTTTCTGTTGTTGGTTTCACTAGATGAATATATTTAAAAATTTATTTTATTTTTTGTAAAGGGGCAGAATGATTAATTTGATTTTATATTTTCAGTAAGTGTAGCACTTACGGAGGATCTTTAACTGTGTCGTCACCGGCTTCCGGGTAATTGTGATGACACGTCGTCTTGAGCTGTGAAGAAGCAGGAGGATTTTTGAATAACGGTGCAGCCAGCTCTGTGCAACAAGCAGGTTGTCACAAAATTATTTGGAAAACTGAGATTGGGTTTGTGTTCTGGAAAAATGAAAATTTTCATTTTAAGCATAATCTCAAGCTTTAAAGATAAAAGTGGAGGTCCAAACCTGTGATTGTGAAGTCAGAGCTGAAGTGCATGCTGGGAGATGATGTTCCAGTCTGTTTATATGTAATTAGATCAACACAAGGATTATTAAAGAGAAGTCTTTCTGCTATGTTTGTCTTTCCAGACCGCCTTCAGGATCATGTTGGAAAAGAGGAGGATTTCTCTGACCAGCAGCTCTGTGGACGTGAGAAGAATTCCAGTTTGGACCAAAAGGAACCAGAACCTCTGCAGATAAAAGAAAAGCAGCAAGAACCAGAACATCCCTGGACAGAGGAGGAAATCATGGAGCTCCCCATTAGCGAGCACAAAGAGCAGCTTGTTCTGCAGGAGGAGATGGGAGATACAGGAGAGAAACCTTCCCCATGTTTGACATGTGGAGAAACATTTCTGAAAAAAGAACATTTAATGGTTCACATGAGAACTTACAGAGGTCAGAAGATTTATAAATGTCTGTCCTGTGGAAAACGCTTCACCTCCAAGTCTGTCCTTAGTACTCACATCAGAATTCACACAGATAAAAGGCTTTTCTCCTGTACCATTTGTAACAAGAAATTTACTCGAAAGAATAGTTTGACCAATCACATGAGAATTCACACAGGTGAGAAACCTTTTTCCTGTCCGATTTGTGGCAAAAGATTTACTCTAAAAAGTCTTTTGATTGGACAAATAATTCACATATGTGAAACCTGTTCTCCTGAATGTTTTGTGACAAAGGTTTTAAAAGAGAAGGTAATTTAAGTATTCAGATGACATTTGTTCATGCATGATGTAGAATGATTTAGATAAAAAAGAAAAAAATAGTTTCACATAATTCACAGCAGTAGATGCCACAGGAATGAACAGAATAAGTGTTTTCCATGTTTGAATGGGGATAAAATGTCTATTCTATATATCTAGAAACTCCACTGCATTACATAAGAAACTGATGGGTCAAAGTCTGTTTTGAGAAAGCCATTAATCTCCAGCTGTCGTTATATAGAAACTAGAACAGATAAGGTGTATTATTGTAAACCTGGTAAATGTTCTGGTTCTAGGTGAACATGTGGATGTGAACATTTGACAGTTAATTATTTTGGGCCTGAGAAAATGAAGATTTAAATGGCCAAAAAAGTTTGCCTTAAGAAAAAAAAGAGGTTTCCATTTATGATGTCTTAATTTCTCTGTACTGAAGGGAATAAACATAATAAAGTGCAACAACAGCATCCTGGTTACAGATGAAGCAAGTTAGCATCCATACAACAAGCTAATGAGAAGTTATAGATGTTTAAATTGGGAAAAAATCCAGACGGACCCCTGCTGTGCCGTTTTGTTGTATTATATGATGATGGATTATATTCTGCTGTGGATGTTTTTAATTATTGTAATCACTTCTAAACTGATGAACAAGCAGCAAAAAAAAACCTCATGGATTGTAAAAATGTGTTTCTTCATATGGTTTCACATAAATTAGAAACAATCTTTTTCCATGTTTTCTCTGATATTTTCAGCCAAACTAAAGCTGTAAAATAAATAGTTTAATGGCATTCACCTTCTGTCTTCTCCAGTCTTTCCTGTTGCTCCTCCATCAGCATTAATCTGTTTGCTTTTTAGAGCCTGAGTTCAAATCTGGCCATTGGATAAATCCTCCTTTGCTTGTTGGAGAACTTAGATCAGGAAATAATGTAGGTACGTATTCTGGCCCAGTTTATGAAGGACCAACTCTGCCATATTTAAATGCTCAAATGTATAAGCATACAATTAATTTCCAACAAAAAAGTGAGACATAAATGTATATAACTCTTAATTAGCTTCTTTATTTATTTGCCTTTGTAATATTTACCTTATTTATTTTTCTGTCCTTGAAAGCTGCCGTCAGCTCCGGAGCTCCGCTGGTTGCCACGGTCCTCTCAAGTTCGTCACATTTTCTTTTAAATTACGCATTAAATCTGTGAATGGGCCATATGGTGATGCTTAAAAGTATAAGGTTCTCGCCTCAAATGATCTTAAAACATACTTTAATTGAACAACAGCAACAGAAAACAGAACATTTAACTTAGTACTCTGAGCTCAGTCAGTTAAGAAGATGGACTGCCAAGCCAACCAATGAGCAGAAGTTGACTCTCTAGGACACACCCCCTCCTCATTTGCATACTGAGGTAGAAATGCAGAGAGAAATGTAAAAAGGGCATACAGAAATGTAAAAAGGACAGAGAGAAATGTAAAAAAATTGCATGCTTATACATTTATTGAGCATTTATTTATTTCTGTATTTATTTTTAAATATGGCAGAATTGGTCCTTCATACCAGTTGGTTTGGCACCTGATAAAACAAGTGTTTCAGTTGCTATAACTGTGTGTGTCCAGAGCCGCTACAACCAAGCAACTAGAGGAATGAAGGATCTAACTATGGCTATGTTCACAATGCAGCCTGAAGGGAACCTAATCTGATGTTTTTATTTATTAAAAATCATTACAAAATGCCAAAATGAAAGTTCAGCTTCACAGATGAACTCCAGCAAACATTTTTAGTCCAGTGGGAGGCTGAGTGCACCGTGTGCAAAGCTGGCTCATTAGTTTCAGTGTCTAATAAAGGTGCTGGAGATCTCAAAGCTCACATGGACACTGAAAAACCTGAAAAATAGTGATGGGTCGGGCAACACCGATGCGTCGGCGCATGTGTCGGTCTCATAGAGCGAAACCTGTGTCGACGTGTGTATCGCTACGGGAAAGTCACGTGACCGATACAGGAACTGTATCGGTCACGTGACCGATGTTTCGAACTGATTGACGAGCCTTTATAAGGAAGCGCATCTGCCAAAACAATCTTGCGTGTTTTGCGAATATAAAATTCATCAAAAATTATGGAGCTTCCTCAAACAAAAAGAAAGGTTTCTGCCGTGTGGGACCACTTTGATGTCATTTCGGAAAATAAGGTATTTGTTTTAATTTCCTTGTTTCATCCTGTTCCTCTCAGAGTTTCCACTTGATTTTCTGAGTAGAAATTCATTTCAAAGTGACCTTTAGTTTACTGTTCGTGTTATTTTCTACAGGTTAAATGTCGCAATTGCTCAACAGAGCTTGCATATTTAAATAACAGCACCTCCTCAATGCTGAGGCATTATAGGGCCAAGCATGAGCGTGAAATCCATGATACACCCATGATGAACTCAGGTATACAGGTATTTTACAACTTACTGACTTTGTTTTATTGATAATTCTGAATAATTTACACTTTCTCATTTTTAACTATCAAGCTTCCAGGAAGCAGATGCTTGATGAGGCTGTGCTTAATTTCATTCTAAAGGACTGCCAGCCCCTCGCTGTTGTGGAGAATGAAGGGTTCAGGGAGCCGGTTCAGCTCCTTGAGCCCTCATATGTTTTGCCAACCAGAAAGGTTTGTGTGGAAATTATCTGAAGTGGTAGTTTATTCATCAAATTTATTTTAAATATATTGATTTTCTTCTGGTTTGACTTGGTGTGGTTTTCAGACCATCAAACAACTGTTGGCCAAAAAGTACGAGGAGGAACGGGAACGAGTGAAAATGGAAGTCCAGCAGGCTGCGGACAGAATGTGCCTCAATAGTTGGAAGCTCAAATGAGCCCCAGCCGGGAACATCTTCACAACAGCTGTCTGCCCCCACTTCAGGCATGATATTGAGCATCATTCCTTTGTTGTTTGTAAATCATGTACTAAAATACCTTTTTTTAATTATTATTATTTTTTTTTAAGATGACCTTTGGGAACATTTTGATCTCGAAGTGGGGAGGCAGACCAAAAGTGCCACAGCTGATGCCATCCTTGAGGTGCAGAGATACATGGCAGAGGGCAATATTGCGAGGTCCCAGGATCCTCTTGTATATTGGAAAAACCAAAGGACGGTTTATCCAAACCTCTTCCGCCTGGCCTTAAAATTTTGGTGCACTCCAGCTTCATCTGTGCCGTGTGAGCGGGTGTTTTCCACAGCTGGAGAACTAATATCAAAAAAGCGCAACAGACTGAATTTCAAAACGTTGCAACAACTTATTTTTTTGAATAAAAAATTGTAAAAAAAAAATACCAGTGAACAAGCATCTTCATTTACTACATGTTTACTTGGAGATTATTACATTATGATGCAGGTTCTCATTATTCATTGACTGTGTCTAAAATATCAAATATGTTTTAATAATAATACAATGCATCATACAATGAATTGCATCATATTAGTGTATTTAATAGGTCATCAAATCAGTGTCAGTTAACTCTGTCAACTAGGTTGCCTGTAGGGATTTTTAATGTCCAGCAGGTGTCAGTATTCAGTGACACAGTATCAATACAGTTTGGTAATGTGTCGAAACGTTTCATGACGCCTCATCAACCCATCACTAGAAAACAGGCCTTGAGGTTTTAATGTGACGGAGATTTACTCTATTGTAGGATCAACAAATGGGAATTTTTGAAGTTTAAAATAAGAGAATTTAGCATTGATGTCAACAAAAACCTTAATTCTAAACAAAAGAAATGTGAAATAGATATTTTGAATGAAATCTATTAATGTTGCATCAAACCTAATTTTGGTCCTGAAGAACAACTCATTTTATGGAATTGCAAACTAAGTTAGATCAGCTTTATTTGAATAAAGCACAAGGTGCCTTTTTTAGGTCTTCTGCAAAATGGATTGAAGCAGGAGAAAAGAATTTGTCATATTTCTTTAAATTAGAACGTAACAGACTAATAATTGTATGTCAACTATAAATGAATGAAAAGAAAAGAATGTAAATATCCTAAATTATTAGAGAAGGAAGTTGTTTTTTACTTATTGTAAACTTCATTCGGCTAATTACTCTAATATAGATCGTGATCATATTCAATAATCTATCCTCTTTGATTTATCCTTTAAAACCATCTGTGATGCCAAACTAAAAATTGAAAAGTTGGATACTGCTGTAAAGAAAATTATCTTAAATGAATCCCCTCGTTTGGATGGCCTTACTGTTAATTTTTATCAATTCTTGTCAACCAAAATAAGGACGTTTTTATTTAATGCCAACTATGAAGCAAGGAGTGATTGTTCTCATCCCTAAACTTGACATGGTGCTTACCAGACTCTTAGGCAAACAACAACTGCGGACCCAGGGGCAGATTTAATGGTTTATTTCCTGGTTTAATGGGAGAAGAGCTTAGTCAAGTTTTCCAGAGGATGGTCTTGTGTTGGATTGAGGGTGAACAGGCAGGCTGATTGGTCCTGTAAGGGGTCCAGTTCCAGAGCAGAGAGAAGATGAAGGGAACGGACCAGATCCTGGTGAGCGTCCGATCTGGTTCTGTGGAGGACGAGAGCAAGGAGAGGTTAGAGGAGACTCTGGGAGCCTAGTTCACTAACAGAGCTTGACCCGTTTTACCACTAAGAGAGCAGAACCAACTGGCAGCTTGCTCCAGGAAACTGCTCCAATATAAAAGCCCCCACTGATTGTCATCAGGGAGTAACAGGTGGAACCCATGAAGCCTGCCACCCTGTAAGTAAACAAAAACACAACGACCTAACAGTACCCCCCCCCCTTCAACGGACACTGCCTAGCGGACGACCCGAAACAGAGGCCGCCGAACACTCCAAGTCATTGATGAGGCAGAGATCCAAAATGAAGGAGGGCGGAACCCAGCACCACTCCTCAGGACCATATCCCTCCCAGTCCACCAAGGACTGCCTACCCCGCCCACGAGGCCGCACATCCATAATGCGCCTAACTGTGTAGGCTGGGTGGTCATTGATGATACGGGCGGGGGGAGGCAGCTTGGGAAGAGGAAACAGGGGACTAGGGAGGTAGGGTTTGATCAGGGAAACATGAAACACAGGATGCACTCGGAGGGGGGAAGGCAACTTGAGGCCAACAGCCGATGGACTAAGAACTGACCCAATCTAAATCTATAATACTACCAATTAATTGCTCTCTACAGAATCCCTCAGGTCTACAATTGCAACCAGGAAATATCAAATATTTGGGAATTACTGTGTCATCTAAACTAGCTGAGTTACCAAAACTCAACCACATCCCTCTTTTAAAAAAGATAGAAGAGGACCTAGAAAGATGGAAATCGCTTCCTAGCTCCCTTATAGGTAGGGTAGCCTCAATTAAAATGATGGTCTTACCCAGAATTAACTACCTATTTTCAATGATCCCAAATAAACCATCAACCGACTGGTTTAAATCTCTAGATTCTTCCATCTCTAAATTTCTTTGGAAGGACAAACCCCCTCATATCAGCTTAAAGACATTACAGAAAACTAAAGACAGAGGGGTTCTAGATTTACCTAACTTCCAAAACTACTACTTAGCAAATATTCCATAAAAGTAAAAATAAAATAAAATAAAATCCACTGGACTTGTTTTCCAAGAGTTGAAGACGTTTCGCTATCTCTCCAGGAAGCTTTCTCAATCCAAATGTCTGGATGTCTGGATCCGCCTCGACACACGCTTCGGGGAAACGCCCCCTCCATTACTCGACACGTGCCTCGAAAGCCTCGACTCATCTCATAACATCACTAGTTTTCAGGATTTTGTGGATTTATGTT